GGGAAGCAGTCACGAAAAGGGAGGGATTGGGTTGCAGAGCCAGAGTGAGAGGGATTGGGAAGCAGTGCTTGTTCTCATCCAATACGGTCTGACAGAGGGCCTGAAGTCAAATGGAACTAGGCAGCAGGCAACACTTCTACGTTGACTAAGGGGAGAACTGGGTGTGTTTCAATACATTATATATCTGTAGAGAATAAGTAATTGGTGTGTCGGAGATCTGTGATGTGTAAGTTGGAAAAAAACTCTAACCAGAAAAGTACATGCCCCTGCTGTTTATTGAGTGCCCTTTTGTCAAACAGTTCCTGGTCAGCAGGAAATTGACACTGAACTGGGCAAGCAGATTGATTTGGTTAACCAAGTGTATATTTTCATCTTCAGCAATGGGCCATTAACATAGTGACACTAATATCACTTTCCCATCCTATTTTCAATTCCATTTTCATTGTCCCATCTCTGCCTACAACCGAAAACGTTATTTGTAACTTGTTATGCTAACTGAAAAGCCAAGTGGCTCCATGGAATCTGCTCTATTATTGATTCCCAATTCTATATCAATACAGTCTCTTTGAAAGAGGAAGTGAAGAGTTACTGAATTAGTCCACCTTGCTTTTACCCTCTCCTGGAGGCAAGATTTTCCTGAATCCTGCACTTTGAGAGGAATAAGGTATGGGAAAGCTGTCAGGAAAGAATTCTGATGGACATTCACGGACTCATGATGTTTGATTCTCGATCGAGATATTGCTAAAAGGGACTATTTGGTGGTCACGGTTGTGAGATCTTGCTGTGTACATTTTGGCAGCTGCATTTCCTACATCACATCAGTGACAATGTGTAATCCAGGGTCATGAATGGAGACTTTCTCTCGAGAATGTCAATAAGACCACCCCAGGAGGAGTTCAGTCTATGAATCATTGACGGGACAATCTTTCTCCTCTCTCTTTTCCAGCTGAAGTTACACTGTGGGGTGGTGAGGATGGGGAAGCAGAACAGCAAGCTACGTCCCGAGGTACTGCAGGATTTACGGGAAAACACAGAGTTCACGGAGAACGAGATCCAGGAATGGTACAAGGGATTTTTGAAGGACTGCCCCAGCGGATACTTGACAATAGAAGAGTTCAAAAAACTCTACGGTAACTTTTTCCCTTACGGCGATGCATCAAAGTTTGCGGAGCACGTATTTCGTACTTTCGACACCAACGGAGACGGCACGATAGATTTCCGCGAGTTCATCATCGCACTGAGTGTGACTTCCAGGGGAGGTCTGGAGCAGAAGCTGAAGTGGGCTTTCAACATGTACGATGTTGATGGGAATGGTTACATCAGCAAATCTGAGATGCTGGAGATAGTCCAGGTACGAGATTCTCTGTCGAAACAAAGGGAGATTTCTTTAGATGGAACTTCTGCTCCCTTTGCTGCATCCTTATTTTGTTTTGGCCTGTCTTGCCTCCCATTTGCAATTGCTCAAACTAAAATTCCTCCCTTTTTTCTAAATCAATATGACGCTGAAGCCAGGCAGGGTGGGGATCACTGCCTGGAATCACAATATCAATGCAAAACCTTTTTGCAGTCTTGGATGGTCAGAAGAAACTAATTTAAGATAATTGGCAAAAAAAAAAGGAGACAAGTGGAAATTATTATTACACAGAGTTGTTGTTATCTATCACTGTTAAAAGGAAATTGAATAAATACATAGAGCCATACAGCACAGAAACAGACCCTTTGGTCCAACCTGTCCATGCCAAACATAATCCTAAACTAAGCTAGTCTCACCTGCCTGCTCTTGGCCCATATCCCTGAAGGATAAAAAATTGTAGGACCACGCAGGAAGAATAGGAGATGAGGACTAACTGGATAGCTCTTCCAAACAGCCAGCACAAGCACAATGGGCCAAATGGCCTCTTCCTGAGTTATAGCTCTCTGTGGATGATTTAAGAAAAATCAATAACCTAAATCACTAATTGTTGCACATCACGTGAGTCAAAAGTAAATGAACTTTTATTTTCTGGGCAATCTGTGGGGTTACTGAAATCACTCCCCCCCCCCCCATTCCCCACTAGACTTTCTTACCTCAATAGTTCCATCTGATTTCAGATTGATTTACCTTGGCACTGACACTGGTTTTTCAAAAGTGACATTTATTTCAGTGTTACTGTTGTCAGAGCCAAGCAAGTGTCAGCTAACTATAAATAATGCTCTCCAAACACTGTCTTATCTCCTGTTGCCTCAGGTATTGGCTGCAGTGGTGAGGGACCTTGTCCCACGGAGCTGGTTTAAGAATTTTTATGACGCTGAGTAAGACCCTGCGGTTGGTCATGCGGGCTGGACAAATTTGGGTGCCCACTAACCAGCTGAGCGTACCCCTCTCTCTGGGTAGAGGAAAAGATTGGCACACCACACATTGGAGCCTGGAGCCTGTGACGCTAAAATTGTCTGTCTTTGATTCAATTTCAGGCTATGTTTTTAAGAAAAGATTATAGAGACGTTATGGCCCAGGCTGCCTTTCAGCCCATTGAGTTGCATGCTAGCTCTCGGTTGGGCAGTTCAATTGCTCTTCTTCTCCCCACTCCACTCCTGCCACCCGGCAAGTCTTTTTCACCCAAGTGCCCATCCAAATTCCTATTGAAATAATTTACTTTCACTTCCATCACCCACATAGGCAACAAGTTCTAGGAGTTACAAAATAAAAGTTACGCAACTCTCGCAGTGGTTTGAGCAGTCAACCTGAGGGGGCCTTAAGTACTGACAGACCTGGTTTTATTCTCCTCGAACAGGCTATCTACAAGATGGTTTCATCAGTAATGAAGTTGTCCGAGGATGAAGCTACCCCGGAGAAAAGAACAGAAAAAATCTTCCGTCAGATGGACACCAATGCAGATGGTAAGTGATGGCATGGTCAGTGAGCTATTCTTTACCTTTGTGAGATGGAGTAACTGTTATGCAGGTGGCATAATGGTAATGTCATTGGACTAGTATTTCAGATGTCCAGCCTAATGTTCTGGAGATATGGATTCAAATCCCACCACGGCAGCAGAAGCTATTTGAATTCAGTTAATAAATGTGGAATACAGACCTACTCTCAGTAACTACCGTCAACTATCACTAAAACCTATCTGGTTCACTCATACCCTTTAAGAAAGTGAATCTGACATCCTTACCCAGTCTGTGTGACAATCCAGGCCCACAGCAATGCAGTTGATTCTTAACTCCCTCTAAAATGGACTAGCAAGCCATTCAGTTCAAGGGCAGTTAGGGATGGGTAAAAAAATCCTGGCCTTACTAATGATACAACTGCAATGAAAGAATAAAGATAGAAAAGGACTTGGACAAGTGCAGATTAATTAGTGAAACGAGCATGGATTTGTCATTTTTAACTAATTTGCCTTTTGATGAGCTAAGGGTGAGGGTTGATGAGGGTAATGCTGCTGGCGTGATGTACAAGGACTTCCAAAAGGCTTTGATACAGTGAGACACAACAAACTTGAGGAACCTTAGAGCTCCTGGAATAAAAGACACAGTAGCAACATGGACATAACATTGACAGGAAACGGAGCAGAGGTGAAAGTTGTGTTTCAGACAGGGGACAGGATTGTAGTGTAGATTGCCAGGGCAGGGTGTTGAGAGCCTTGCTGTTCCTGTTATATTAAATGACCTCAATACTTTGTTATGCAGGGTCCAATTTCAAAATCTGAAAGTAACACAAAATGTGAAGGTTTTTTAAACCCTGAGGAAGATAATGTAGAACAGGTTGATGGAATGGTTGGTCAAGAAGCAGATGAAGTGTGAAGTGGTTTGTTTTTATTGGAAGAACACAGAAAGACAAAATAAAATAAAGGATGCAATTCTGAAGTGGGTGCAGGAGTAGAGGAACCTGGGTTTATGTGTATGGACGTCATTGAAGTTGGCAAAACAATTGATAGCACGATTAATAATGGATACCAGATCTACGTTCTTCAATCAGGGAATAGATTACAAGAGCATTTACGTTAGACCTTTTAAAACACTGTTTCAGCTTCAACTGACATATTGTGGGAAGGATCGAAAGATATTAGAGTGCAGAATAGATTCATAAGAATGGTTCCAGAGATGAAGAACCTCAACTATGTAGAAAGATAGGAGAGGTCTGTACACTTGTTCTTGGAGTAGAAAAGGTTGGGAAGAGATTTGATTGAGATGTTCAAAATATGTTGGGTCTGGACAGAGTCGATAGGGAGAAACTGTTCCTAGTGTTGAAAGGATGAAGAGCCAGAGAAAACCGATTTAAAATAGTTAGCATAAGAAGTAAAGGGGACATCAGGAAAGGCATTTCCTCTCCGTGAGTGGTTCGAGTCTGGAATGTGCTGCCAGAGAGTGTGGTGGAGGAAAGATCAATTGAGGCTTTCAAAGTGAAATTGGATCATTATCTATCATTTGTACGTGTCTCCAAGTTTAAATTTGTTTAATTTTATTCCTCCTCGGAGACAAAGGTGACAGTGTCTATTTTCTGGAGTGTTTGTTAGGGTTCCAGTCGGCAAATGGGTGACTGCTGCAGCTAATTTACTCTATACAGGATGCGATATTGCAGATGACTGAGTTTTGGATGTGATGCTGGCTCAGGAAGTCCTCTCCTTGTGTTTCCTCTCTGCCTCGAATATCTGTTTTCTTTCAAAGGAGGCTACACTGTATTTATCTGGTTGCATATTGTGCAGTGATCCTGGGCCAGCTTCTCCCAAAAATAGGAACTGATACTAAAACTGAAGTCTTCAAAGTGTCCTTACAGCCCCTTTTGACTGCCACAGGAGTGTACCCCAGTCTCCGACTTCTCCCTAAAAGATTCACTTTTGGGAAGCAAGTGTCAGGCATTCGGTCTACATGGCCAGGCCAACCCAGTCATGGTTGTCTCAAAGTGATGTGGATGTTTTGTACGCTGGCTCAGGTGAGCACCTCAAAGTTGGGTATTTTGTTCTCTTTGGAAACTTCTGAAGGCATCAGGAGAGAGTTTTTGAGCTTTCTGGCTTGATACTAGTATCCAGTGCAAGTCTCACCTGAATGGTCAGGACTGTTGATCTACTGACTTTAGGCAGGCTTACTCCTTTTAGCTTTCAGACTGAGCAGGAGGTTGTTCTTGCATTGAAAATTCCTGCAGGTGTCTTGTCATACAGTCTTACAACATGGAAAGAGTTCTTTTGGCCTGTCAAGTCTGCTCTATTCATCAAGCACCTATCTACTCCAATCCCATTGTCTATCATTTGGCCTGTAGCCTTGCATTCTACGGTTTCAAATTCTATGTTTCAAATATTCATCTAAATATTTTTTGAATGAAGTAGTGGTTCCTGCTTCTACTATGCATTTAGGCAGTGTTTTCCAAATAGTCTCCACGCATTGGATGAAAATATTCTTCCTTCAATCCCCTCTAATCTTCTTGCCCCTTACCTTTAATCTATGCCTCTTGGTTATTGAGCCCCATAGGAAGGGGAAACAGTTATTTCTATCTAATCTATCTATGCCCCTCAGAATTCTGTGCACCTCAGTCAGATTCCCCCTGTACTGAGGCAATGTAGACAGCTTGAAGGAGTGTGTTAGCAACGTAAGTGAAGCCATCCATTACTGAGAGGCTCTGGTGGCAGACTGAAACCTTGGTCTCGAGATAGGGCTTTCCTAAGCAAGTTGCTACATGACTTTGGCTTTCTATAACTCCTGTAAAACACTAGGGACATTTTGAACCATACAATATAAATATATGTTGTGTTGAGTAAGTTTTTGAGAGCTCAATGTGTGTTGTGGAAAGATACATATGTGGGGCTAATCTATCAAAAATGGTCAAGCTTATTAAGCCATTAAATTCTCATCCTGAACTTTCTATCATTTTTGGATTTTAGGCAGACTTTCTCTAGAAGAGTTCATCAATGGAGCAAAAAAGGACCCATCTATTGTCCGCCTCTTGCAATGCGACCCCAGCACCGCTGGACAGTTCTGAGACACTGTCCAGGACACAGGTTCAGTTTCTCCGCCTGTTCCCATCACTGGCGAACCAGCAAGGACACTGGCAGAAAGTACATTCATGCTCAGACAAGTGGAACACTGGTGTCTGCCAAAAAAACTGAGCATCCTTTCACATGATGAAGAAACTGCATGAAGAAAGAGATTCCTGACCTACAGTACAGTAAATAAGTTCTAGATGTGTAAATGTGCCAAAAATAAGGGGAGCTGAGCTGGTCAACCAACGGTTAACACCATCTCATTTTCATTTGCGCCATGTGCTGTTGTCATTACAGTCTAACTGGATAACAGGGCAGAAGGGGAGTATGTTTTATTAGGTTTGTCTTGTCTATTGTTCGCTTTTTACAGGTGAAATGTGTCTTATTGTTTTATTTTAACCGTACTGAGTTCTTGATGAAGCCGTGGAGAGTGAGAACCAAACTGTGGTGGGTTAATGTTTACGTTTATACATTGGAGCATGGCAAAGCCGTTAGGTTCACATATGCTTCTTCCATCCTTGGTTCATCCCATATCTATGTGGCAACTTACCCTCACTCTGATACCTCCAAGGATCATCCAGTGACTAAACGCCGGTGGTGCACCTATGAAACATTTCCCCTTGTCCCCCTTTGGGGAACACAATCCCTTAATTATCCCCCCGATGATTCATTTTTACCCATCCACATAAACTATTTCTGTCTGTCACCTTCCTGAAACACTGTAAATACTTCCTGTTTGCTCTGGAAATCTCCTCCACGTATCAGTACTCTTTGGAATAAGTAAAACTTCAAGAGCTCAAGCCTCACTTCCTTTATTGTGTTGGTTACAACCACATCCCCGAAATCCCTTGTTCCCTATCACCTTAAACACGTCATTAACTGTAATGTTCCATCTTTAACATATTGATCAGGTCCATTCCAGGTCTCTCTTTGTTATACAATTCTGAGGATATCTTCACAGTTCACCACTCTCAGGCTGTCACCCTAGGTTCTCTGCACTTTATTCAGGTAATAATATTTATCCTCATGTTGCCCAAGAAATGTTGAATGGCATCTTATCTTCAGTAGCCTAATTACTGTCTTCCAGGTTTTGTGATATAGCCAGCATCCAGTCTCTCCTGACTTTGGCATCCTGAAACTAACATTGCAATGCATCATCTTGTCCACTACAAAGGATAAAATTCACTGGGAACTGATTCCTTGGAATTGAACAAAGGCACTGCATAGCTGTTCCTGCAGCACGGCACACTATCCCACTTCTCAGTAAGCTTTCCAAAAATATCTCGCATAGTACTACACAAAATCCCTGCCATTTATTTCAACATTAAGGCTGTGTTCAACAGACACAAAGTGCTGGGGAAACTCAGCAGGTCTGATAATATCTGGGAAGAAAAAAACAGAGTTAATGTTTCAAGTCCAATATGATTTCCTCAGGCTGTGCTCACCTCCAGTTTCCTACATCTTGACTCCCATGTTGCCCTCTCTGAGAAAAGCAAAGATTTTCACCAGGTCTTTTTCATTGGGTGTTAGTCCAAGCTGCTGGATATGGGCATTTTCAGCTGATCACATATGTAATGGTTTCTCATCTGATTTATAACAGTCCCCAAGTCACCCGACATGATGCTGTTAGTTTTCTGATTGATCTTTGAGTTCTAATATTGGTTTGAATTTCGGGGGGTTTGGCAGTGGGAGGGGAAACAAAGAGGCTCTCCCACTCATTCTTTGAAGAATCTCAGAAACTCTTCCAAAACATGTGTTCACCCCTGTATTGGTTTTCCATTTTCCTGTTGTCTTTGTTTAAATCATTCCAGACCACATGTTCAAGAGTTAACATTTTGTACTTACTAATTAAAACATGCAATTAGCTGCATCAGGGTCACTAGTTAGTTGCACGCAGCTCGTGGCTAAAGGATTGGACAACTCTGCCTGAGGTCAGTGTTGTATTTTATGTTATCTGTATAACTATTAATGCATTTATAACTTATAATATGCCTAGCGTTTGGGACCAATTGCCAAAGTTAGTTCCCCATTTAACCATCGTGCCTTTCTTCTACTATACACTCCCTTCTCATCATTTCAGGATTTTTTTTTAAAAGTAGTGGATTGAGTGAGGCCAAGGATAAAAGAAACTTGGCTCTGCTGTACTTACACGAAACGAATATAGCACTGTGATATTACAGAAAACAAAGATATTTACCCCCCCTTTAAAATGTCACCACATTTTGCTCTGTGTGGGAGCTGGCAATAGGGTGAATAGCCCCTATCTGTGATGTAAATGACTATGACAATTGAGATGCCTCGCCTTGAGAGATATACTGTGTTGTGATTGATTGTGGTTACCTTTCCAAAACCTCAGCCTCAGCACAAAGTGTTGCTGACAGCTTCCCTGCTTTTTAACCCCGATTGTGTCTGAACAAATACACCAGTGGGTCCGGTGAAAGCTGATGACTTTTATTGACACACCCCCTAGAACAGTGGTTCTCAACCTCCTGCATCTTGTGTGCTACCAACCATCTTATCAAAAAAGCCATGATAAAAACAAAATCCCACTTTTCCAAGGAATGGTCTTTTTACGTTTTAGTACTATTAACCATGAATGAAATTTAAGGAAATTAAAAATTGCAACGATTTTGCTGAGCATAAGTTTTATTGCTAAACTGTAAAGAAAGACATAATGGTTGAGTCATTGCTGACAAGTCTGTGATTGCCTTTTCATTGGAAGGAATGTCAATTCCTGAGGGTCCTACCTGGACAATCTCATTTCTCACCATTTGAGAAACACAGCGTGAGAATGTTTCATTGGACTTTGGAGTCCAATTGCTACAACATACTTCTTCATTCAGAGAGCCACCTGGTGTTCAACTCACAAAGTGCAACTGCCACAGAAAATCAACCCAGGTTACCAAATGCAGCCACTTGTCCTGGACGATTCCATCAGCTTGCTGGTCTCAGTTTGTCCTGTGCTGCTTTTTCTTTGTCCCAAAGTCAGTCATTGAGACCCGGCTCAATGCAACAAAAGAATTATGGAACAGAAAATTTGTTTCAGCTCCCAAACTGTTGTAACAGAGAAGAGGACCCACTCTGGTTGGACACAGTATTAGAGGCGTCATAATGTGACGTTTCCCAATTCCCCATTCCCCCATCATCCCCCACCTCTACCCTTCCCCGATCCCCACCGCCTTTCCCAATCCCCACCCCTTCTACCCCATTCCCATACCTGCCCCTCCCTTCATCCCCATTGCCACCCTTCCACCGATTCCCATCCCGTCCCCCCCCGATCCCCCCCCTATCTTCCCCGATTCCCCCTCCCCCACCCCCCCCCCCGACCCCCCCCTCCCACCTTCTCCCCCGATTCACACCCCAATCCCCACTCTAACACCCTCCCCGATCCCCATTCCAATGGCCTACCCCCTCCACGAAACACCACTCTCACCCCCATGCCCTGACCCACAATCCCATCACCACCCCTGACCAACTCTGCCAACACCTTCCCCCCATGACCCACACCCTCCCACCATTGGTCACCCAACATGTCCATCATGACAGAACCACGGCCAATCACAAAGTGAATATATTCTCAATACTGACTGGATAATTCTTGACTGTCTTTCAACCAGCATTTCTCTCACAATTTCTATTATTTTTCCAACTAGTTCCAAGAAAAAATTTAAGAAACAATATTTTAATGCCCTGCTGATTTTTCTCCTTCTTTTCTTTGCTCACAGCATTGTCCCAGAGGTTAATATTTAATTGCTGGAGACACCAGGCTAGTTCTGGAGAGTTGGCAGCACCAGTGACACCCTGACTCAGAACCCATTGATTTAAACATTTATTCTGTGTTCCAAATTGAGCAATGTTCTGCTTATTTATCTGGTCCTCCATTACAATACAATTGGAAACTGCATTCTGCGATGTATTTACATGTGTTCTTGATGAGGAGTAAAACTTGAAATTGCAAGTAGGTATTCAGGAGCCAACTTTCACCCAAAACAAATAGTAAATGCTGCAAAACTGAAATATACGAATGATGCTGGAAAGGCTCAGCTTCTTGGACAGCATCACTGGGAAAAGGATGATGATATTAACCCATCAGGTTGCTAACCCTTTATCAGAAGCTTAGATCTCAAATGTTTATTCTTTATTCATTTACAGCATGAGGGTGTTGCTGGCTAGGCAGCATTTATTGCCTATCCCTAATTGCCCAGAAGGCAGTTAAGAGTCAACCACATTACTGTGGGTCTGGAGTCACATATGGGCCAGACCAGGTAAGGATGGCAGTTTCCTTCCCTAAAGAAGATTAGTGAACCAGATGGGTTTTTCCAACAATCGACAATAGATTCCTGGTCATCATCAGACTCTTAATTCCAGACATTTATTAAATTCAAACTCCACCGTCTGCCATGCCAGGATTTGAAACCGGGTCCCCAGAATGTTATCTAGGTTTTCAGGTTAACAGTCCAACGATAATACTATTAGGCCATCCATCGCCTCCCCAGGGGACATGTCAGCCAGTGCCTGCAGCAACGCCATTGCTATGTTGCATAGGTGCACCAGAGACCTGGCCCTGAGTCCCATACTGCGAATGTGCAGTTTTGAAAACAGATTTATAGAGGAACCACGCAATGTAAAAACTGGCAATCCACAACCAAATTTTACAGTGCCCAACTCTGACCCAATAATGTTCTTTAAGAACACAGTGGTTTGCAAAGCAAGGAGAAATCCAATTCTTGATGATACATGATCACTTGGACATTGAATCTTGTCCCAATTCTATGGGACATGGAACAATGTCCAGGGAGGAGAGAGGAAAGTTGAGTGGGGTGGAGGTGCTGATTAAATTAGAATCTGGAACAACTGCTGAGTTTCCGGCGCATTCTGAGCTGCCTGTGGGTTCCATTATGATTATTCGAAGTAGTGAGAGACAGGCCTAACCTGTAAGCAGAGCGAATTCCAACAGATGAAGGTTCTGTGATGTTGTACCAGCACAGTTTCCATGCAACAATCCACGCCTAATTATATTACACCATTCCTAGCCACAGCCCTCCAGGGTGGATGGACAGATCTTCTAAGGGTCCCAAAAGTGTACATTAGAAATGTAGTAAAATAGTTAAAGGAATGAGCAATTTTAGTTAATTGGAGAAGCTAGGGTTGTTCTAGCAAAGAGGGAGATTTAATAGTGTCGTGCAAGATTAGGATAGATTAAGTAGCTGAAGACAAGCTTTTCCATTTCCTGGTATACAAGGGTGTTCGTTTTGAGATCCTGGGGAAATGTGAGAAAGGACATCATTTTACATGGTGAGTGGTAATGACCTGGAAAACTCTGCCTAAGGAAATATGGCAGTAGAGGGAAATAAACTTTCTACGGCCAACCATAATGGAGGGGAATGGGACTGATAGGATTGCTCTACAGAGGGTCAGTATAGATGCACCAACTGGCTCCTTCCATGCCACAGTGACTCTACGTCTGTGCTGGCAGGTGGCCCAGTCCAGAAGATAAGACAGTCCTGCATAAAGGCAGTGATGCTGTTTTGTTCAACCACTTTCTCTGAGAATTAAGTGTTTCTCCTGTTGTAGATCTTTCAGTCTGTCTGCTTTATCATCAGGTTAAAACCTCAGGTGTATGAAGGGAAAAGAACCAATCAGCTTTTTCAAAGTTTAACAGTAGTGATTAATATTTAATTTGCATTTTTTTTAATATTTGTGTCAGTTGTTTGATAGATTTGTGTTCAGGGCTGCATCATAACTTGCAGCCAGTATTTTGCTTAAATGTCAAAAAGTGATAATGATGTTCACATTCCTTCATCAGTATAAAAATTAAAACTGTACACATCATCTGCAACTCATTTTTCATGGTTTTTTTTGAAATTCATTCTTGGGATGTGGGTATTACTGGAAAGTCCAGCATTTGCCCCATGAAGATGCTAAAATAACAGGCATGTTTCTGCAACTCTGGGTTCTCTCTGATTGTTTTAAAAGAAAAGGTCATTTTCTTAATCCGGGATGAGTGAAAGTCCGAAAGGCTCAACATGCACAGGTATGCAACTTCTCACAAGTGTCAGCCATGATGTGTATGCCTTGCCTCCTAGTTAGCAGGATCTGTGTTCAAGCCCTGCTCTCGAGATCTGAGCACACAATCTAGGCTGACGCTGCAATACGGTTTTGCGGAACCATACACTGTCAGAAGAGTCTGCAGCCTCACCTGCACTCTCTGAGATTCTTCTACAAAACTAGCCTGTCCCAGGCGCCAGAAATGAGAAATACAAACAAAAAATGCAGGAAATATATAGCAGCACCCATCAAGAGAAAAACTGAGTTAACATTCCAGGTGTTAAAAATCATTTCATGGGACATCGGTGTCATTGGCTAGCATCTGTAATTGCCCTTGAACTGTGTGGCTCCCTAGACCATTCTATGGGTTTGGAGTCATATGTGTGCCAGACAGGGTAAGGATGGCATATTTCTTTCCCTATAGGTCAATAGTGAGCCAGCTGATGTTTTTTATAACAACAATTGACAACATTTGACCAGCTTTTAATTGCAAATATTTTCACCATCTGCCACAGTGGGAATTTGCACTGGTGTCCCCAGAACACTAGCCTGTATTTCTTGATTACTTGTCCAGTGACATTACCACCTCACCACTACCACCCCCCAAGTCAGGTTGGTGATCATGGATGATGTGGATGTGAGGCTAATTCATTCACAGGTAATAGAGAGTAGCGGTGGATGGATGGAGGAAAATAGAGAGTGGAGTTATCCAAGGAGTCGGTACAAAAGCTTAATACCTTCCTCATCAGTATTCGTATCATAGACATGGGTGTGCAAGGCAGAATTTCAAAACTCTTAGATGAAAATTCTTGGAAGCATTTTGAACTCTGAAATAGATGGTGATCAACTTCAAGATGACAGAGTCTAATGACATGGTTGTACAAGTGGCAGATGAAGTTTAATGCAGAGAACTAATGAAGTGATACATTTTGGTGGGGAAAATGATGAGTGGCCATTTAAAAGGGGACAATTCTAAAGGATGTGCAGGAACAGAGAGTTCTGAGGGAACATGTGCACATACTATCAAAGATGGCTTGGGCAGATTGAGAAAGTGGTTAAAAAGACAAATGAGATTGTGGGTTTTATAAATTGAGGCATAGAGATCCAAAAATAAGGAATGTATGGTGAATCCTTGAAAAGGCACTGCTTTGGCCTATTCTGGGCACAACACCTCAGGATGAATGTGAAGGCATTGGGGTCTGAGCAGAGCAGACAGGGAGAAACTGTTCCCATTTGACAGAAGAGTCAAGAGGGGACTGATATAAATTCAATGGCAAATAAACTTAAAGAGAAACATTTGCAGAGATAGGGCAGGGATCTGGGACGAACTATTTTGCTCTTGCAAACAGCCAGCACACTGGAGCAATGCTGTAAACCACTTTACAATCTCTGAGCAGAATACATTGGAACTGGAAAAAAAATAGAGAAATAACATACTCTTAGGCCACTTTAAAGGCAAGGAAGTGGGAGAGGAAGTTGCCAGAGGAAGTGGTACAGGCTGGTACGATTACATTTAAAAGGCATCTGAATGGGTATATGAATAGGAAGGGTTTGGAGGAATATGGGCCAAATGCTGGCAAATGGGACTAGATCAGTTTACTTGTAATTACTTGTCCAGTGACATTACCACCTCACCACTACCACCCCCCAAGTCAGGTTGGTGATCATGGATGATGTGGATGTGAGGCTAGTTCATTCACAGGTAATAGAGAGTAGCGGTGGATGGATGGAGGAAAATAGAGAATGGTTGGCATGAATCAGTTGGACCGAAGGGTCTGTTTCCATGCTGTATATCTCTTATGCCTATGACTAAGAGAACAAAATGGAAGATCTTTGATAGCTGGAAGGCTGAAGAGATTAAGCAATGAAAGGAACAACAGTACAAGCAATAGGAGATGATACTGTGACAAGTAAAAAAAGGAAAAAAATGTTTATTCATTCATGGGATGCAGGTGTAGCAGGCTAGATCAGTATTTATTGCCTGTTCCTAGTTGCCCTTGATTTAAGCTTTATTATTATGTGTATTCAAATACAGGAGTACAGTGAAAAGTGTAGAATGCTGTCACACATGATGCCATTTTAGGCACAACGGTACCTAGGTACAAAATTTAGATACAAGTAGTAAAATAGAGAAACAAAGTTAAAAGTAAA